CCAACCGACTGCGCCACCCAGGCGCCCCCAGGAGGTTTTTTTAAATATCAAATGATAGAAATCCATATCAACAATATTAAACAAATAAAAAAGGGAGACTCCAGTCTAAACGTTGATTTTCATTATTCACGGTAGTTCTATGAAGTTGCTGCAAATGGTGTTAGTGAATACTGAGCTACTGCCTCTATAGAAATACAGGGTTAGTTAGGTTCTTGCTTAGAGTCTCTGGTCAACCAATCAGTGTATAATCTTTTTTTTTGTGTGTTTATGTATATTTCTGTTTAGACACCTAGTTTAATATACATTTCTTACAAATGATTAATTGTATGCAGTATTTCTTTATGCTCTAACACTAGTCAAGAGGATTTTTAACATTTTTCTGACCCTCAGTCAGTGACAGTATATTTCTTTGGTTATCAGCTTTGTAGCAGTGCTGTCCACCACACACTGTAATCATCTCTGAATCCACAGATTCAGCTATTTTGAACGTCTTTTCTGTAGCTTCTTTATGCCGTACAGATGTTACTTGAGCACTTTCCAGAGTTGCTGCATGTATAGATCAGTGAATTTCTTCTTCCCTTTTTTAGATATATCCTATTATTGATTCATTAACATTGAACTCACAGCCAGTAGCACTATAACTCATGTGTGACTGAAGCTTGTCCAACACATGTATTTTCTCTGTGAGACACAGCACAGCTTTGTTGTACTTAGGAACACTAGAGATAGCACTTTAGCACCAGGCCCAGGGGCATAGCAAAATCACCAACAAAAATGTAGAAACCTGGGGGCACCTGGGTGGCACCTGTTAGTCGGTTAGGCGTCTGACTTCGGCTCAGGTCATGATCTCGTGGTTCATGAGTTCAAGCCCCACCTCAGGCTCTGTGCTGACAGCTCAGAGCTTCAGATTCTGTCTCCCTCTCTCTCTGCCCCTCCCCCACTCATGCTCTCCCTCTCTCTCTTTCAAAAATAAATAAACACTTAAAAATTTTTTTTTAAATATAAAAACATGTAGACTGCAGAAAGACCACTTTTTTACAGAATGAGAACATCATTTTGTTTGACTTTGGCTGGGAAAGTGCATGTAGGGGTGACTCAAATTTTTCCTCTCTTTGCATATGTCTGGGAATGACTGAGAAATGACCCAAGTATTGCTTTTGGGTTACAAATAAATTTTAGTGAGTAAATTCACAAGTATGGAGTTCACAAACAATGAAGTACAGCTATCGTTAGGGAGAGTGAAGGTAGTAGTGCTGGCACCAGGCAAGAGGGGATCCAAGGCTAAGTACCGTTACTAGGACCCTTTCTGTCCTTTGTCTTTGAAACTTTATAGCTGGTAGAATCATAATGTCTCTTTTTTTTTTTTAACTCTATTTTGATTTTTAAAAAATTATCTTTATGTATTTTAATTTTTTAAAGTTTGTTTACTTTGAGAGAGAGAGCAAACGGGAAGGGCAGAGAGAGATGGAGAGAGAGCAGGCTCTGTGTGTTGGCAGCACAGAGTCCAATAAGGGGCTCTATTCCACGTAGCCATGAGATCATGACCTGAGCTGAAACCAAGAGTTGGATGCTTAACCAACTGAGCCACCCAGGCACCCTGAGTCATAATGGCTTATAGGTGTCCTCATGTGGCAGGGCACATAGCTTCCAGCAGCCTCAGTTGTCCTTCAGAGGCAAAAGGCAGCCTTCATTCAGAGCTCTGGTGAGCTTACTGGGGAAGGACTCTGGCCCCCCTGGGAGTGTGAACCTATTCCTGAGCCAATCACAATGGCTTAGGAGGTGTTCTCTGATTGGTTTGCTGTGGGTCATGTCCTGTGGCTTAGGGGTGGGATTCTCTGACTGGCTTGGTGTGGCTCATGTGTATGGCTTGTGGCAGGGGTGGAGGGGGGGTTGGGGAGCGGGTATTCTTTGAATGCCTTGGCCAGGGTCATGCTTACCCTTGTGCCAGAGAGGGGAGAGTTTGTTACTAGATAAAGAGGGGCTTCGGGACATGGGTAAAAAAGCAGTTGGTGCCACTCTTGAGTTGCAGCTTTCTTTTACTTGAAGTACATTTTAGCTATGCCCCCTCCCCCTGTTTTACTGACGAGTAGTGTTTCTTTTATGAATATACTGCAATCTGTTTATCCATCCTCCTGTTGATGGACATGTGGGTTGTTGCCATTTTTGTTTAGTATGAATAAAGCTGCTGTGAGCGTTGTTTATGGATCTTTTTGCAGACGTACAATCATAGCTTCTTGATGTCATATTTTTAGACACACTGTTTGTACTTGGCTGGTTAATGGGATGGCTTAATGCTACAGCTGCCTAATCTCAGCCATTATCTCTTAATTCTGACTAGTTTCACGCTCAGAGGGCAGTTTTATTTTCAACTTTACTGGGCATCCTTTATTGTATACTGACTACCGTTAGTCATTCTGCAAGTAATTTTTGTGTTCTTGCTCCTGTAGGTGACCTATAAATCAGCTTGGGTGGCAGTTGTAGCCTAGTAGATGAGACTGTGGACACTGGCATCAGGCCTAGATTCATAGCCTGGTTCCTACTTCTTGTAGCTGTGTGACCTTGGGCGTGCTTCTCAATCTCTCTGAAGCTTGCTTTATCTGAAAATGAAGCTAAAAATAGTACTTATGGCACAAGGTTGTTGTGAAGATGAAATGAGATAATAATATAAAATGCTTATTAGCACAGTGACGGTTGTATGTTGCTTCTGTAATCATTGGTAGGTGGCGGGAAAGGACAAGTTCATGAAACATTCAAAATGAAGAAGTTAGTTGAGAATATTAAATTATGAAAAGATTATGTGCTCTTGCTGGTCTTTTAAAATGTATATCTTACTCCCCTGCCCCAGTTTGCATTTTCTCTCTCCTCCTATGTAATTAACTCAAAGAATAACATTTAAGCTTAATATCCTTTTAGTTCTAGAGTCTAGACAAGGAGTAAGAATCTTGGGAAGAAACAGAACTATTTGGTTAAGAAAGCAATTTCAGTCTTACATTTTATTTTCGGTTTTCCATACTTTTCCAGAAAGCCTTAAGAATTTAAAGAGTAAGTCAGGTAACATTACCATAGGTAGTCAAAAAATATTCTATTGTATGGAAATACCACATTTTATTTATCCATTCATCAACTGATGGGTGTTTGGGTTTATTTCTTCTTTTTGGTATTATGAATAATGCTGCTATGAATATTCATATACAAATTTTTGTGTGGATGCATATTTGCAATTCTCTTGGATACCTAGGAGTGAAATTGCCAGATCATATGATAGCTATACGTTCAGTCTTTTGATGAAGTACCAGAATGTTTTCCAAAGTATCTGCACCATTTTACATTCCCACCAGCAATGTAGAGGTCTCCAGTTTCTATACATCCTCACCAACATTTGTTATTAACTGCCCTTTTTGATTATAGCCATCCTGGTGAGTGTGAACTGGGAGAGAGGGATGAGATTTTGTTTTTGTTTGTATGAAAGGGAAACATAAATTTCTAAAAGGTAGTGAAACTTTGGGCTGGAGTCAGCAGTAATCAGCCAAAAGTTGATTGAGAAGCTGCCAACTCAAAGAGATATGCTATACTGTGTGGTCTTTGTTTAAGGCAGTTAAATTCTGGCTGAGGAGTTAAGTTATAAGATACTGAGAAAGTCTCCAAGGCAGTATAGTAGATGTGTCAGAGGGATGCAGGCTAACTGTGGCTGGAAGGGTCCCCAGAGGCTTTCAGGTAGAAAGTGAAGCTTGACTCTGAGCCAGAAGGATGTGTAAGAGGAAATGGCAGAGAAGATAACCTTCCCCCCCCCATTTTTCATTTTTGTTTCAAGTGGTGAATTATTACTATCCAAGCTAACAATAGACTACCTAAAGGGGTTAATTACTTCAAAAAATTTTTTTAATGAAATAGGCAGGGGCACCTTGGTGGCTCATTTGGTTAATTGCCAGGCTCTTGGTTTCGGCTCAGGTCATGATCTCGTGGTTCAGGAGTTCAAGCCCTGCATCAGGCTCTGCTCTGACAGTGTGGAGCCTGCTTGGAATATTCTCTGTCTCTGTCTCTCTCTGTCTTTCTCTTTCTTTCTCTCAAAATAAATAAACTTAAAAAAAAAAATGAAATAAGAAAATTCAAAAGGTGCAAGGAGAAAGGACACGATGAAGTTGTGAGGGTAACTTCCAGATACTTATTGCCATAATGGTTTGCAAAATTGTTTTAGCCAGTCTCCTCTCCTGTACTCGGAGTTCCTCATCAGTGATCTAAAAATCACATTGTGTCAGTGTTCACTATTCATTAATACAAAATTTGTTTAGAAATATTTTTTTGAACTCTTAATAAAACACAAAAATAGCATCATTACTATGAACATTTTCAGTGATACTATGTTATCATTTTGACATGCAAGGTATCTGAAGAATATTAAGGGGAGTGTTAGTATTTATTTAATTTTTTTAATGTCTGTTTATTTTTGAGAGAGAGAGATATGGAGGGGCAGAGAGAGAGAGAAAGGGAGACACAGAATCTGAAGCAGGCTCCAGGCTCTGAGCTGTCAGCACAGAGCCCAACATGGGGCTCGAACCCATGAACTGTGAGATCATGACCTGAACCAAAGTCGGACGCTTAACCGACTAAGGCACGTAGGTGCCCCAGTTTATTTTTATTTATTAGAGTTTATTTATTTATTTTGAATGAGAGAGAGTACACCCTCCAGGGGAGTGTTATTTTTTTTTTTTTCATTGATTATATTTACTACTTCAGTGATTTCCTTGGGGTTCCTAGTGGCTTAGTTGTTGAAGTGTCCAACTCTTGATTTAAGGTCAGGTCATGATCTCTCAGTTCTTGGGGTCAAGCCCTTCCTTGGGCTCTGCACTGACATTGTGGAGCCTGCTTGGGATTCTCCCCACCCCTCCACTGCATGTGCATGCATATGTACACACACTCTGTCTCCCAAAATAAATAAGCTTTAATAAATAAATAAAAGTGATTTTCTCTGACTTTTTTTTTTTTTTAACCTTGTTTTACAGAACTCTTTTCTCGGCTACATGACTCCCTGAAGGATAAGAACAATGTTATGTTGGGGATATTGGTCTCTGGGCCAACCTGGGATCAGCACCAACCTGCAAGGGATTGTGGCTGAGCCACAGGTGTGTGGATTCATATCAGATAGAAGCGTCAAGGAAGTGGCCTGTGGAGGAAACCACTCCGTGTTCTTGCTGGAGGATGGGGAAGTTTACACGTGTGGTTTGAACACCAAGGGGCAGCTGGGCCACGAGAGGGAAGGAAATCAGCCCGGTGAGTACACCTAGTCTGCCTTGATGATTGGTGAGGAAAGGCTGAGGAAAGGGGGAGAGCTGGTGGAAGATTTTTGAGTGTTTATCTTTGAAGAGGCTCTGACTGGGTGCAGGGGTCTACTGTTTGGAACTTTTGTGTTTAATTCAAGTCTTTGAACAAAAAGCCAGACTTTTCCTTTTTCCTCTTATTAGATGACGTATATAATATCACTGACTAGGGGAGAGAGGTTGACTAATTTAGAGTTAAAGAAATAGATTTTCCCCAGTGATTGAATGCTAAGACATTTTGATTGTTTTGTGGATTTGTAATCATCATACACTCAATATCAGAAATATTTTCACCTAATTTTTTTTTTCCTAATTGCATGTTCATTGTTTATTTTGGCCACATGCTTTTGTTTAGCATTTTGGGCTAAGTGCTGTGCTAGTTGTGAGTAGGTAGATAAGTGGGAGGTAGTGATGATGTGGCTCTAGGGATCCTCTGTGGAAGGATGTCTGAAGTAAGTCAAAGAGTATGCTGGAGGGAATTGGGGAGTGGGATTCATTCCTTCTGCCTTTGGGGGTCAAGGAGGAAGCATGAGTAAGACTTCAAGTGTGTGTGTATTAATGTGGCAGGAACATTAAGCTTATTGCACACACCTGAGTGTACCCAGTCATTTTTATTTATTTTTTTAAAAAGCATGGGTATCAAGGTGCAGTCCACTGTTCAGGGAATGTTCAATAGTATGGCAAGACTGGTGATAGAGGGTAAAAGGTGCTGTGCATATTTAAAGTCCATTGGTTTGAATTACTTTTCTTCCTACCTTTTTTGTGTAAGGTTGACCTTCAGTATACATGTAGTATGAATCTATGAGGTACCTTCTCAATGTTGGATTTTGGAGTAGAAGTGATGATGTTTAAATGAGTCTCCTTGTGGTGAGAAATGGTAAGATAGGGTCTTCAATTGTGACCATGTTGTGTGTTTTTGCACTAACATGGGCATATGTCATTTTGTTTGTTACTATCTTTTTTTATTCAATCCAAATCAAGTGAGGCTACCTACCGAAGTTTCATTAAAGAAGAGCCTTGCTGTTTTTTCTAGATGATTTTATCTAGGAAGGTGTTCGTGTTCATCTAGGAAGGTCAGTTTGGCATTAGGATGAGCTAAATTTTTTCTGTGACACACTGTCTCCCTTCTTTCTCATCTTTATTGTCTCCGATAGCAAGTGGCTGTGTTCCGTAGTTCACCTGTCCGAATGTCAGTATTAATTTATAAATTAATAATGTTGATCATTGGATAAAGGGCTATCAGGCTGGTCTTAAGGAAGGAAAATTACGAAGTATGTGAAGTATGATATGTGGGCTCCTTCCCTGTTCTTTGCTCCAGGTTCCTTCATTGGAGCCCTCCCTCAGATGTCCCACCAGGCCTGCTCCCTGGAGCAAATCCTAATGTTTTAGTCAGGGGTTTTCTAACATGAGGGCCCTGGACTCTTGGGATTTCACAGAAAGAGTTTCAGCATGGGCCATGTGTATTTGCATGTGCAATGCACCTGATACTACAGGTTTTCAAATGTAAGTAGATTCTATTCATTAAAATAAAATTTTAGTAATGGTGCTACCAATTCATAATTGAGTTAGTAAATCCTATCCATTATGTGTTTTACCAATTAATATGAAAGTATAATATGTAGGAAGGTTTTTGATTTCTAAAAAAAATTTTTTTTTTTTTTGGAAAAGATTAAAAACCAAGGTCTTTCACTTTCTCCTGTTAAAACTCACTTGAGTCTTACATAAAACCCGTACTCTTGCTCCGTTGCCCCCAATGAGAGCCAGTATCTAACAGTTAATGCCTAGAGAGGGATTAATGGCAAGTCACAGTCCAGCAGCTTGGTCTTTCCCATGGGAATGTGTACACTCAACCAGGACTTAGAGACATGTAAGACCTACTTCATACCAATAGTCCTTAAAGGATTTGTACTCACCCTGGCCAGTCTTTGAAGGAAGATGAGGAGGAGATCTTTCCAGTACTGCAGAGAGAACACAGGGTGAACCTTGGAGTCAGACAAACCTAGTGAAGGTGTTACTCATCTCTGATTGTATGTCTGAGCCTCAATTCCCTTTCCTATGAAAGGGGACTTCCTGTCCTAGTGTAGCTCTTGATGCAGTAGATTCAAATTGTAAAGACGACTCTGCAAAGCTACCTATGACCTGTGAATCTGCCCTGCCCAGGCTCTCCTGTCTGTCTGCTCTGTGACTCTGCCTTCTGTGGCAGCCTCCTTGGACACCTTTGTCTTAGAACCTGAGGTGAAAGGATTCAACCAGGGGTCGCACCTGAGAAAGGAAACAAAGAGCTTACAGTACAAGGATAGCAAAGACCTGTGGGAGGCACCATGGTGAACACATCTGAGTGCAATGTGGCATTGTTCCAGTGGAGCCTTCTGACACAGCTCTATAGAGTTAGTGGTGGGAGGTTTGTGGGCTCTGCGAGTGAGTGAACAGGAGCAGTCACAGCTTCTGCCTGCATACCCAGTCAGGCCAACGCCTCGGCCTGCAACTGTTCCCTGTAGGCAAGGCTGAGTGATTGAAAGAGACTTGAGCCAGAGGTGCCTCAAGAAGGCTTTTGGATTCCACCACAGAACCCAGCCCATGCTTGTAATCTAAATTTGTAATAAGCAAGGCTGTAGTGTAAATTACAATAGATTCCAGAAATTTCTGTTGTTGGCTAAGCTTGTCTGTTAATTATAAACTCCATAGCAGCTGTGGAATAGTGCCTCTTTGAATGGAAAGATAATGTGGGTGGGCACCTCCCTCTCTTTAACTTTTTTCTTTGGTAGGTGGGTTCTAAATTGGGGACCATTTGGGTTTATTTTTAATGAGTGGGAAAAAGAGAATGAGCTTGTTTTCTCTGTGTGTTTATTGAGAACTGTGACCTGGAGAGCTGCTAGGCATGGGGCAGGTAGGGGTAGTTAGTGACAGACAGACCCTGTTTCAGGGCGCCTGTGCTGGCCCTGGCCTGCAGGAATGTTATCCCCAAATAACCCCTGTGGTGTTTGGGAAGGGAATTTGATAGCAGACCACTTCCTCAGGATGCTTCTGGGGGCAGTGGGTGGGTTTGTGATTTTAAATCGGTATCATTGCCCAGACCAACGGTGTGAAAGGCTAAAAAGAGCGAGGGGAAGGAAAGATGGAAGAAGATGGGGTAGGGGATACACTGTGATGAAACTCTTCTGTTAGAACATGTTTCCTTGAGTCTGTCCTGCTAATTGATCAATTTATACATGTTGTCTAACTGGCATGGTTAAAAAGTACACACATTTATTTTTATGGAGGACTCCTGTACCTGTGACATAGCAGTGGTATAAAGCACACACACAATGATTTTAAAGAGTTTTTTTTTTCTCCTTGAGAACATCTAATAGTTTCCTATTGCTTTTGCGGTTCCTGATGCTGCTGTGCTTTTCTTGTACTCTCATTTCTTCTTAGTTCTGCCCTTATGTGACCAACTTTGTGTGTGTTTGTGTGTGATGGGGAGAGGGCGGTTCAAGGATTCATCAAATACTGAAACTCCTTGTTATTAAAGGCCTCATATTTTCCCAGTGTGTTGGGCAGCTTGGGGTTCTAGCTTAGGTATGTCACTGACTCATTCATTTGTGTGTTGGCCAAAGGCAAAGAGCCCTATGATTCCCAGAAGCATTTTTTGTGGGCACAGTATCAAAGCTTCATCTAAACTCAGTGTCCAGATTTTTTTTTTTTTTAAGTGTTGGATTGGAGCACCTGGGTGGCTCAGTTGGCTCAGATCATGATCTCATGGTTTGTGGGTTCGAGCCCCACATTGGACTCTATGCTGACAGTGTGGAGCCTGGAGCCTGCTTCAGATCCCTGTCTCCCTCTCTCTCTGCCCCTCCCCTGCTTGCTCTCTCTCTCTCTCTCTCTCAAAAGTAAACATTAAAAAAAATTTTTTTTTAGGTGTTGGATTGTAACTGTTTTGCATATTCTTCTTCCATATGACTTTTCTGTCCTTCATTCTCCCTATTACATGATGATGTAAATCTTACCTCTCCCCCAAAATCAGGGATAGTTTCAGTGACAAGGGCATCGTAGGGTTATTACTAACTGATTTCCTCATTTTTTTGCCCATGAATTCATCTCATAATTTCCTGAAACCTAGAGTTACAGAGCTACATTATAGGAAGATTTGTGTGCCTCCCCTCCTTTTTAATTTTTTTTTTAAAGAGGAAGCAAAACATGAGTTTTTCCTCCTAAATTATGTTTCTTTTAATTAATGGTTTTTTGTAAGTAAAGCTACTAAGCTGTACCTGAACATTAAGCACATCTTGAAATATTTTATTAAACTAAAATAGAAACTGGTTGCCCATAGAAAAAAAAAAATTCAAGAATTTTACCTTAGTTTACTGTGCTTCTCTTATTTCTACCCAGCCACATTGTCAGCACTGTATTCTTCAGGTAATCCACAAGTCTCCTTTCCCCATGTATACTCTGAATTTTCCTATTGGGATTTTAGCCCAAGCTAATCCTTGTGTTATTAGGGATGTCTGAATTTATAGAAACCTCTTCTAACCTTTCTTCCTATTTGAGTAGGCAAGAACTGTGATAGGTACAATTATTTAATCTAACTTGACTATGTTAAAATTTTAAATTCTGCATTGACATCTCAGGAAACCTTTTCATAGCAAACCTCAAGGATAACCATTTGTAAGCAGACTCAATATTTTTGTGCAACCCTGTTTTATTCATATCTATGATTGGTTCCTTTTCCTTCCTCCTCACTTAGTTTCTCCCTTTCTTGCAGGTAATTTAATCCGATTCACATTCACACTTTGTATTCAACCTAAGCATTTCCATAACATGCCCATCACCATATGTAACAGCTCTCCCGCTGTTTGATAAATGAGGTTTATAAAGCAGAATATTTCAAAAGCAGCAATTCCCAGAGCTGTGGTTGCTGCTAACCCTGGTAGAAGTAACACTTTCAGCGAGCTTATCAAGTTGCTCGAGGGCATC